GTTCGCGGTTTTTCCTCCGCTGTTCCTTGCGGCTGCTGCTGCTGTTCCTGCTGCTGCCACTGCTGCTGCTGCTGTTACTGCTGCCACTGCTGCTGCTGCTGCTGCTGCTGCTGCTGCTATCTTTCTGTAATGAACATAAATCCCCTCTGCAGCCAGACTGGAGATCACGTCTACTAGAAATGCAACACTGCCATCTAGTGGTAAAATTATGAAAAACATGCAACTCCAAGATAGGTGAATATGAATAGATAGGTTTTTCCTATAGAAAAGAGATGTATAAATCTGTAATCTCAGATTAGAGTAAATTATTATTAGTATGATTTTCAAGGTTTAAAAAATGCAAGTTTGGATTTAAAATGTTTTCCCAGATGTAATGTTTTTGTTGGATGGTTAGGTTACAGCTGTTTTTTTTACTTCATTTTAAATAGTAATCTGTCAGCACAAAAACAATAGTGATGATAAGCAGTGAAAGCTGCTCATGTGTAAATAATCAAATCAAATCTGTACTGAACTGCAGTGTTGACGACAGCAATCTTTATCTACTGCTGTTAAACAGACCAGAATCACACGGACTAACTGGCTGTGTGTGTGTGTGTGTGTGTGTGTTTGAAATTGTAATTAAGGCCTGAAAAACTTCTTGGACAACTGCCAGCGTGTCAAGAACAGAGACCAGCTGGACCGAGACGGAGACGGTGTGGGAGACGCCTGTGACAGCTGCCCTGACATCCCCAACCCCAACCAAGTGAGACAGACGGGGACAAGTGGACGGATGGATGGATGGATGGAGGGATGGAGAGATGGACAGATGGATGGATGGATGGATGGATGGATGGATGGATGGACAGATGGTGGGATGGACAGATGGATGGATGCAGGGGTGGATGGATGGATGGAGGGATGGAGGGATGAATGGATGGATGGACAGATGGAGGAATGGACAGATGGATGGATGCAGGGATGGATGGATGCAGGGATGGATGGATGCAGGGATGGATGGATGCAGGGATGGATGGAGGGATGATGGATGGATGAATGAATGGATGGATGGAGGGGGGATAGAGGGATGGATGGATGGATGGAGGGAGGGATGGACAGATGGATGGATGGAGGGAGGGATGAGGGATACGGGATGGATGGATGGACAGATGGAGGGATGGATGGATGCAGGGATGGATGCATGGATGGATGGATGGACAGATGGAGGAATGGAGGAATGGACAGATGGATGATGAATGCAGGGATGGATGGATGGAGGGAGGGAGGGATGGAGGGAGGGGTGAATGGAGGGATGGATGGATGGACAGATGGAGGGATGGAGGGATGGATGAATGAAGGGATGGATGGAGGGATGGATGGTGGGATGGATGGAGGGATGATGGATGGATGAATGAATGGATGGATGGATGGATGGACAGATAGATGGATGGATGGATGGATGCAGGGATGGATGCATGGATGGATGGATGGACAGATGGAGGAATGGACAGATGGATGGATGCAGGGATGGATGCATGGATGGACGGATGGACAGATGGAGGAATGGACAGATGGATGATGAATGCAGGGATGGATGGATGGACAGATGGATGCAGGGGTGGATGGATGGATGGAGGGATGGATGGATGAATGGATGGATGGGTGGATGGACGGATGGAGGGATGGATGGATGAATGGATGGATGGAGGGATGGAGGGATGGAGGGATGATGGATGGATGGACAGATGGAGGAATGGAGGAATGGACAGATGGATGATGAATGCAGGGATGGATGGATGGAGGGAGGGATGATGGATGGATGGACAGATGGATGCAGGGGTGGATGGATGGACAGATGGATGCAGGGATGGATGGAGGGATGATGGATGGATGAATGAATGGATGGATGGATGGATGGAGTTTTCTTGACTTGTGTCCTTGTGTCTCAGTCTGACATAGACAATGACCTCGTTGGAGACTCCTGCGACACCAACCAGGACAGGTAACTGCACCACAACAACAAACTCACCGACCACTGAACCAGGAACATGTTGTACTGGTACCAGGCCGTACTGTGACTGCACCACTACCATCCATCCACTGTCGTGTTTGAGTCCTGAGTTACCAGGTGTAGCTGATGAAGTGACCGTTGTACCTCATCGATGATGATGATGTCATTTCCTCTGCAGTGACGGCGACGGTCACCAGGACACCAAGGATAACTGCCCATTCGTGATCAATAGCTCTCAGTTGGACACTGACAAAGACGGACTGGGTGATGAGTGTGACGACGACGACGACAACGACGGGATCCCAGACATTATCCCACCTGGGCCGGACAACTGTCGGCTGGTACCAAACCCTGACCAGATTGATGACAACAGTGAGTCGTGTCTGCCTGAATGGAAACAGTAGCAAACATGACTAACATTAGTCTGTGGGAAACACTGGACTCTGTATAACTTCACTGATGTCAAAAGAAAGAATGACACGTGGACCAAAACATTATTTTTAGAAAACAATTCTCGAGACATAGATATCCTCTATTTAAGTCTAAACACTGCAACAAAGGAATCCATTAAAGCAGTACTTCTCAAATAGTGGGGCGGGGGCCCCCTTGGGGGACGTGGTGAGGTGCCGGTGGCCTTCGAATATGGAATTTGGCACGTGTGTACCACTGCTGTAATACTTGAACGATAACAAGCCTCCAGTCACTAGGTGGCAGCAACTCATACAGTGGTTTGTACAGATAAAAATATACATGTTATCAGGTGTTCAATGGCATTGAGAAACACTGCCTTAAAAGGAGAATTCCACCTTAAAGAATTCTGAGGGATATTTTTAAAGACATATTACCAGTTTCTGTCTTGATTAAAATTGTTCAGATTTGAGGAATTTAAATGAGTTACAGTAAATGTAACACAACTACACACTTGACAAAGACACTCAATGAGTCTCAATGAGACTCAAGTTCCTAGAGACGCCTGAGGGACATGTCCTTTAGTCATTAAGAAACCTTATAAAACGATGACTTCTGTCATAAAACCACAGTTAAACCCTCATACATCTGTAATTTAAAAACAAAAAAGATACAGAGCTGTGTTGCATTGCAGTTTTCACTTTTTAGCAAGGCCAACGCAGCCAACTTTCAACTTTAAATTCCAGAGACACCACCACAGAGTGAGCTTCCAGACAGATCTGGGATCATTAAAGCAGGGCAACACAGTTTCACTCTGTTCTTCTGTCAGAACCTCCTTTTAAAAAAGACATTGTCTGAACTTGGGAGAATTATTTGACAGGTTTCATATTCAGGACGTGTAGCTCATTGTCTGGGATGAAACGCAGAGTTCCTTCAGGAGCAGAGCTTTTTGACACTGACACTGAAGATGGTCTGGAATCCATTCCTTATCCACATGTGGGGAAACCAGTCGGAGCCGGTTTCATTAACACTCCTGACACGTCGGAGCCGGTTTCATTAACACTCCTGTATTTTGTCTTTCAGATGACGGCGTGGGAGACGTGTGTGAGTCCGACTTCGACCAGGACAAGGTGATCGACAGGATTGACAACTGTCCTGAGAATGCTGAGGTCACGCTGACGGACTTCAGGGCCTATCAGACGGTGGTGCTGGACCCTGAGGGTGACGCCCAGATTGATCCTAACTGGGTTGTCTTAAATCAGGTGACGTTGAATTAATGGTGGTAACTTAACGTAAAAATATCTTACGATGTTTGTTCTTTTATCAAAGCTCAGAGTCAGTAATAGTTCCGTCTTTCTCTCTTAGGGAATGGAAATTGTTCAGACCATGAACAGCGACCCAGGACTTGCCGTTGGTAATGTGTCTTTTCCCACAGAGATGAATATAAAAATATATATATCAGGGGTCATTTTGGTCCAGTGTCCGCATACAACATGTCCGCATACAACTGAATTACCGGACCAGTACAATCGTAACATAATTAACTATAAATAATGTTTTCATGCAAAAAAAAGTACATTAGATAAATCCTCATATTTAATTAAATATAATATATATTATATATATGTATAATATAAGTCCATCAAGTGGGCCGCATTGAAAGCCCAAGTGGACCGGTGTTGGACCGCGGGCCATATGTTTGACACCCTTGACATATATATATATACACCAGTCTATGGACACACCAGTCTATGGACACACCAGTCTATGGACACACCAGTCTATGGACACACCAGTCTATGGACACACCAGTCTATGGACACACCAGTCTATGGACACACCAGTCTATGGACACACCAGTCTATGGACACACCAGTCTATGGACACACCAGTCTATGGACACACCAGTCTATGGACACACCAGTCTATGGACACACCAGTCTATGGACACACCAGTCTATGGACACACCAGTCTATGGACACACCAGTCTATGGACACACCAGTCTATGGACACACCAGTCTATGGACACACCAGTCTATGGACACACCAGTCTATGGACACACCAGTCTATGGACACACCAGTCTATGGACACACCAGTCTATGGACACACCAGTCTATGGACACACCAGTCTATGGACACACCAGTCTATGGACACACCAGTCTATGGACACACCAGTCTATGGACACACCAGTCTATGGACACACCAGTCTATGGACACACCAGTCTATGGACACACCAGTCTATGGACACACCAGTCTATGGACACACCAGTCTATGGACACACCAGTCTATGGACACACCAGTCATCCATCTGTCACCGCTCTCTCTGTCCTAAGGTTACACTGCGTTCAGCGGAGTGGACTTCGAGGGGACGTTTCACGTGAACACAGTGACTGATGACGACTACGCCGGCTTCATCTTCGGCTATCAGGACTCTTCCTCCTTCTACGTAGTGATGTGGAAGCAGACTGAACAGACCTACTGGCAGGCAACGCCCTTCAGGGCTGTGGCTGAGCCTGGCATTCAGCTCAAGGTGAAATAAGGAGCCACCAAATGGCTCAAACGTGCAACTGCAGACGTCTCCTCATCCTTATATTTATCCTTATATTTATCCACGTCGCTCCTCCTCCTCCTCCTCCTCCTCCTCCTCCTCCTCCTCCTCCTCCTCCTCCTCCTCCTCCTCCTCCTCACCACACTGTCTGTTCACCAGGCTGTGAAGTCCAGGTCAGGCCCCGGGGAGCATTTGAGAAACGCACTGTGGCACACAGGAGACACCAACGACCAGGTGCGTCTGCTGTGGAAGGACCCGAGGAATGTGGGCTGGAAGGACAAGGTGTCCTACCGCTGGTACCTGCAGCACCGCCCACAGGTCGGATACATCAGGTACAGTGACTAAGACTAAGCTAAGCACAAGGATCACTGGGTTCAGCCATACCATTCAAAAACACAAAAGTGTAAATGTTTAAGTCTGTACAGCACATAAAATTCGATTACTGTTAAGTGTAAATGTCTGTACAGCACAGATATTTGAGTATGAGCTCCATGTTTGGAACAGTGTGGAGGACTAATGAGAAATATTAGCTCGCCAAAGTAGTTAAAAGACAAATAAGTAAAATAACCACGTAGCTATGTGTTAGCCAAATGGGTAAATAGTAATTTGCTAAGACATTACAGTCACCGAACAGTAAATTACTTCATATTAATGTAGATTAAAAACATGAAAACATTTTATTTATTTTTACAACTATTAGTCACCCTAAAATAGCTAAACATTAGACAAAATGGCCGAGTTTCAGCTAAACAGCTAACAGCACCCTCAACACTTGCAAATAGCTAAAAGACGTCCAAAACAGTGGTAAAAGTTAGGCAAAAGAGAGCAAAAATTTCGTACAATATTTTGAAAGGAGCTAATGTTTAGCCGAAAGTCTAAAGAGCTGTGAAATGAAAACTAAATGTTAGCCCTGAAGAGCAGATATTTTAATTGTTTTAAAGAAACAAACATATTCAGTCATTCTGTCCTTCTCCTTCAGAGCTCGTTTCTATGAGGGGACGGAGCTGGTGGCCGACTCTGGAGTGACAATCGACACAACCATGAGAGGAGGACGGCTCGGTGTCTTCTGTTTCTCTCAGGAAAACATCATCTGGTCCAACTTAAAATACCGCTGCAATGGTGAGCGACCAACTCGTCGTCACTGTTTATTATACTACGACTAATATCTATAACAGGCATGAGCAAACTAGGGCCCGGGGCCCGGATGCGGCACCTTAATCCTGCCTGCCAAACTTTTCAAAATTATATCATTTATTTATATTATCTTCATCCTTCTTCCACCTTTTCCCTGCAATACCCACGTTTCCCCAATAGATGGCGTAAAAATTTGCATTTTAGCCTTTATGCGTGATTTTTCCATGTCATTTATCTTCGTTTGCACGAACTTTTTTCATGTCATTTATCTTCGTTTGCACGAACGCTCCACCTATCTGCTCCTGACCCGGCAACGCTGTTTAATATTAGGACAGTTGTGGCCCACGAGCCAAAGGTTTGACCACGTCTGACCTATAACCATGTTGCAACTCGTGTTCCTCTTCAACTCCACAGGAGAGGAGAGGTGTTTTATAATCTGTAGATAAAGTATCAACGTGAACGTCAGTCACTCTGCTGAACTCTCTCTTATTTCTCAGACTCTGGGACAACTTGGTTAAAGATGTGATTTGTTTAATAAATATCGTGTACGGCTCTGAAACAGCATGGTTAGCATCGGAGCACCAGAGGTGGGACCAAGTCATTGCTTTGCAAGTCACAAGTAAGTCTCAAGTCTTTGCACTCAAGTCCGAGTCGAGTCCAAGTCAAGACTGACAAGTGTCAAGTCAAGTCCCAAGTCCTTACGTTTCTGTTTCGAGTCCTTTTAAACAAAATAATAATATATTCACACAGATACACTTAGGGTTTTGGAGAAAGTATCAAGTCTTGTCGAGTCAAAGGGCTCAAGTCCAAGTGAAGTCACGAGTCGTTGATGTTAAAGTCCAAGTCGAGTTGCAAGTCTCCTTACATTTTGTCAAGTCGAGTCTAAAGTCTTCAAATTGATGATGACTCGAGTCCAAGTCATGTGACTGGAGTCCACACCTCAGGCTCCTCCGTGACTCGTGTCTGGGATGTGGCTCAGCATTTCACATATTTTGTCTGGCGGTCACGAAGCGCTGACTGCAGCTGAGAGGAGAATGACTTTGGCCTCTCTCTCTCTCTCTCTCTCTCTCTGCGAGACACTGAGGACGTCTCATGATATTTCACTCCTTATTTTCACAGACACCATCCCTGAGGACTTCCAGGAGTTCAGAACTCAGCACGGCACTGACTCAATCTAAAGTCTGGATGAAAAAAGAAATATCACGACGCAGATGTCGGCCACAGTGTGTGTGTGCGCGTGTTGTTTGTGTGTGTGTTGTTTGTGTGTGTGTCTTTTGTACTGTTCGTGTCCACTGTCGTCTTTCATTCCTTTCTCATATTGTTTCCTCCTGTTATAACATATAAAAAGACTTCTTTTCCGAGCTCGTGGTGCTAAATATTTTAAGTTATAATACATTTTTACAACTTTTTTTAAGCAACTTCCTTCCACGTAGTTTTAGGAAATACCTGAAAGCAGACACCGTTGTGTGGCATTGTTTCACTTTTTCAACGTTTTCAAGACTTTTAACATTCTTATCTTCCATGTTTCACAGAAATATACTGTTGAAGTATTTGGTTGACACAGTACTGGTGTGTACTGGTATATGTTGATGATGCTGCAGTTGTACTGTTCCTGTACTACGCCTTGTGTTTACCTGTCATTGTGTAGGGTTGTTCATTCAAGGAGATTCTCTTTGTCACACTTTGTCTTTTCAATGACCTTGAATGTCAGGGCAACCTCGTTTCCTCCTAACGACTTTGTCCTCAAGGCCTTGAACATTTATTGAAGCTCAAAATAAAAGGGCTGGTTAAAATATGGATGTGTATGTGTCTGTTCTGATCGATCTAAAGGTGAGGTGACTGGGAAAATTATCCAGTGTTGGGGAGTGGTTCAGGTACCGTCAGTGGGTAAACAGGATGATATGTCTGATATTAAAAAAAAAAAAAATCTAAGCACAGAATCTCAAAACGTTCAATCCTGTCGGTATTTATACAATGAAAATACAAAAAACCAGTAGAAATGACTGCACACAGGCTGTGGATCATGAAAAATAAACAAGTCCAAAACCAGTAGAAATTGCTGTGGATCATGAAAAATAAACAAGTCTCTGGGAGCATTTCTGTGATGTTACCTTATCGGGTCACAAGGACAACGATCTGGCACCAATATTCGGGACGAAGAGTTGACCTGCATGTTGACCGGCCCTGCCTGCGGTCCAGATCTGAGGAGTAGAATCAGACAGACAGTGATCACTGACAGGGATCGGTAGAAAAGTAAAGTTGTACAAATTAGTATCTTCAGTTCGTATGTCAACACAAAGAATTGAGACCCAGTCGTAATAATGACTTTATGTCCAAACTATAGGTCAACCATCAGGTTGAACAGATGCAGTGATACTGTCTCTTCATATATAACCTTTATTTGAAAGGATGTGTTAACATACAAGTCAGAGTGATTCATAAAGACTCCTTTTCTTCATGAATTGAGGACACCATCCCCTGAAATTAAAAGCCTGTGTTTGGTTTGAGCCAGAAATAAATTCAGCACTGGAACGTTTTTTTTTTTTTGTTTGTTTGTTTTTTATCCCCCATTGGCTGCAGAGGAGAGAGAAGAAACCATCTATTTTAATCAGGCAGGTCTTCTGCAAAATGAAAATAAATCTGGGGAAAGAGGGCTGCATATTATCACCGGGATTTCATTAAATTAGGTTTAAATATGACATTATCAGCTTTGCTGTGGAGGCTACGTATTTGTCTTCAGTTTAAACGGGTGAGGATTATTCTCTGTATGCTGTGCTGAGGAGCAGAGAGTGAACCATCCACACAGTATTTGTGTTTGTATGTGGAATCATTTGCAACTTTTAATTATTTTATTATAAGCACTTTTATTTGTGTACTCTCCCATACTGATATTTGTGATACTTGAACCATCAACAGGGCCACATACACAGACAAACATACAGTACATACATAATTCATGGTCCTGTTGCATTGTGGGAGAAAAACCAGGGGCACATGTATATAAAATGTAATATTTTCAAGAGCAAATTTTTTTTTTAAATGGTCTAATCCATTGTTTCCCAACATTTTTTTGAGCCACGACACATAAATGATTAGATTAATCAAATCAAAGCACCAATAAAATATAATGATGTTCCAATTCACTTAATGTGAAACCTGGTGCTGATTAGTTGAACACAACCGTTATATACTAACAGAAATTGAAGAAAGACACACAAAGACTTCCTTTAACAGCTGAGTCTCTCTTCTTTTTTTTTAATAACCATCTGCTGCCACCTGGTGGATGAGTATTAAATCGTTCCATGAGTTACAAACCAAGTCAAATTATTTTTGCAGTAAATAACTATTATTCAGACCAAATGTAACTGAAAATTGAGAATCTGATGAATAAAAATGTGGCAATACCCTTGTAGTACCTCTGTCAACCCTATAGGGGTCACAGGCCCATTTTTCTTGCACTGCACACCTTTGCTTTATGCAAATATGGTCACAACAGTTACAGACGGTCAGATCTCAAATACCAGTTCCTATATGAATGCAGTAATTCAACTGATACAGACGGTCAGATCTCAAATACCAGGTCCTATATGAATGCAGTAATTCAACTGATGTGTACTGCACATACACAAGTAAGAATACATTTCTAGTATAGTTTCAAGTGCTGCCCAACTATCCTTGGCAGTCCGATAATGGCTCCACTGACGGCTTGGACGCCTCCCAGGTGAACGGGTTGGAACGACAGCCAACCCGTTGTGTTGTCTCAGAAACAGTTTCTAGACCAAATGTTCTAATTGTTTGCAGTGGAGGTAAATGGAGGCTCTCCATCAGCAGACACTGTCCTCAGTGCCAGGTGGTGTTGGACAGGTGTCCTGCTGCCACTGTCCTTGGACAGGACTTCTCCTTCTGCCTGTTTTCCAGCCATGCTGGGCTCGGCTGCTGGCGTTCTGGCCGGTGACGGCACACACTTCAGTTTGTGTAGAAGAACGCACCATTAAAAGACACAACAGACTATGAGGACGTTATTATATGCTTTGTGTTGACTTGAAGTTTTTGACTTAATTACAGAGGGGTTTTTTTATAACAGGAAACTCTAGATGTGATCACAGACTTTTTGAGTCCATGAAGATCGTCTGAATACTCAGACGTCTGTCTTTCATATCGTGTGTCACGCTTCGCTCGCCCATCACACCCCCTCCTCAGCTCACATTACCCGCCTGCACACGACCTTCCTGCCTGTCGACTCTTATCTTCCTCCTCATTTTCTCTGAGATCTTAGCCATCTGCAACCCGCCTCCATCCGTGACCTCCTTCTCTGAGGAGAAGGACATTTAAGGAGCCTTAGAGAAATCATCAGCTGTCAGAAGAGCGGGGGCTAAGAACGAGCCCCTCCGCATCAAACTGGGATGGGACGAGGGTCAAATGTCCAGTGTGAAGATTTTTCCAGAAATCCTCCTTCATGTTTTTATTTTTCTTGATGTGAGTCCATTGTAGAGAGTTAGAGTTCTAGTGTTTACAAACTCTGTCAAATAAAATGGCTGGTATGAGAGGGTGGGACATGTTTTGTGGACAATAACGTCTCAGTAATGCACCTTGTCTAGACAGCAGAGGGCAGCACTTCCCAAGGAAAGATGGGAACACGGCATAAAAAATATATAATTTAAAAAAAGGAACTGTGTAGACAAGAAAGAAAATATTGATCTGTGTTCTGATAAATGACATTAACATGTTCATGTTTTCAAATGTTTCAGAACCAGAGTGACTCAGAGTGACAGACTCATTTAGAATGCAGCAGTAAAACACCTTATTTTGAATATTATAGTTAACTTTGCAGAGATTTGAAGTCTTACTGTCACTGTATTCTAATCTATGTCGTGTCTCATCGTCTCCTCTCTAACTTGATCTCCAAACTGCTCCACCTGAACTGTCCCTCTGATCTGCTCCTCTCTGCTCCTGTCCATCATCATCTGCTCCACCTTCACTCCAGCCTTTTAGACAGAGCCACTGTCTCTAAACCAAACATCATAGCAGGTCTCACTGCTGTCTTATAAACTGGACCTTTGAACCTTACTGCTATTTTTCTGTCACAAATCACCCCTGATACTCGTGTCCATCCATTCCACTCTGCCTGCAGCCTCTTCATCACCTCTTTTATGTCACTGTCCATTTGCCTGGACGTTTGACCTGAGGAATTTGAACTCTTCCTCCGTTACCACCTCTGGTCACTACATTTTTAACATATATGTATTGTCTTGCTCCTGCTGATGTTTATTCCTCTTTCCTCCAAAGCAATCTCTCCAAATTCCCTTTGACCTTCTCCCTACCCTGGGTTCAACTCAAGCAAAACTTCACATTTAGACCAAATAGTCATAATATATATGTCTTACTCTGTTTTGTTTTTTGACATTTTCCTGAATCGTTCTTACACCAGCAGCTGTAAAAATAACAATTTCACCACAGAGATCAATAAAAAGTCTTTCTGGTTCTGAAAGTATTTTTTCACTTCTCTTCTCGTACGGACTAGTCTGAGTCTCACTTTCGCTCCTGTTCTTCTCCTTTTATCTGCACTTGCTGTGAGTAAAGAATCCCTGTTGGTCCAAACACAGCTCTGTCTGGGTCTGTGTCTACACTGAATATTTACATTCATGTCTGTCTATGCTTTTTGGCTCCGTCGCCATCTGCCCATCTGTGCATCTGGCCCACGAAGTTTCGAGTCTAGCCAACAAACCCAACGACAGACAGTCACACTATCAGGCGTGTGTGGGAGATCTGGTACATCTGAGGGGGGGGAGGGGGGGTGAAGAGGGTGAGAGACGAGGGACGGCGAAAATGAGAACATCTTAGCTTTACTGCCCGGTGATAAAATATGACTTGTTATGACAGTTCTGTCTTTAGACTCCCCCTGCTGGCACGTCCATCTTTGTCTGAACTACAGTGGCCGGTGGGTCAGAATGACCTGAGTCAGATGATTTCTCTGCAGTTCTTTTCACACAACATATGAGATTCATCCAACGACCTTTAAAAAGCAGCAGCAAGTGTTAGAAGTGGGACGCTGTGAGAGGAGGTTTGTGTGAGTCCACGCTCAATAACTTTCTGACTCACCTCCCTGGGTCCCCTGCAGACTCCTCCCACCAAACATAAGAGCGAACATGAGTGTGGTAATATTTACCATCCAGTCTGAGAGCAGAGAGCAGAGAGCAGAGTGTCTGTACTAGGCCAGAAAGCTGGTTTAAATACTAGGAAACATGTCCCAGCTGTGCAGTGTTATCACTCATTTCCTGCTGCAGTTCAGTGTCTCAGTGTACTCACCGGGCAGTTTTGTTTAAGTAGGGCGACCATGTAACCTCCTGGACGAAGTCAGGAGGAAGAAGTTATGGGTGGTTGGGTGAATGGATGGATGGATGGATGGATGGATAGATGGATGGACGGACGGATGGATGATGTATGGATAGATGGATGGCTGGCTGGATGGATGGACAGTCGGACGGATGGATGGATGGACGGACAGACGGACGGACAGACGGACGGACAGACGGACGGACAGACGGACGGATGGATGGATGGATGGTTGGATAGATGGATGGATGGACGGATGGATGGATAGATGGATAGATGGATGGATGGACGGACGGATGGATGGATGGATAGATGGATGGACGGACGGATGGATGATGTATGGATAGATGGATGGCTGGCTGGATGGATGGACAGTCGGACGGATGGATGGATGGACGGACAGACGGACAGACGGACGGACGGACGGACGGACGGACGGACGGATGGATGGACGGACGGACGG